AAGTAATGCAAAAGTAAGTAGGTGGTGTTTCAACATCTTGTGGAGCACAGAGAATAATTTAATTGAACTCTACCTGATTTTCAAGTAGAAATTACATCCTTTTTAGATCTGCTCTTTACAGTTTGTTTCCTAATATTTTTGCCTTGTTTTGTAAGCTGATCTTCACCAATAATCATGGCCATCTGACTGAAGTGCTTTAGGAATCTGCTTTCAGCTCTCACCATAACATACTCTGTTTCTCTTTGGTTACAGTTATTAGTTAGGGCTGAATATAGACTAAAGCCATCAGAGATTGGCATGCTGCAACTTGCTTTTGGAACATGCGAAAGGCTGTGACTTTAATGTTTTGGACCTTTTTTTAGATTTGCTGTAAAGAACATATGCAAATTTACAGTATTACTGTTTTGGAGAAGCAGTCCTTCCCGATAACTGTATTTGTTAAGAAACTCTGACATGAGCCAATTGCATTGCAGTTGGGCACTGATATTATTCAGAAACTCAGGATAGTCAGTATTGATCAGTCAGAATCAGATGCCGAGTGAAGCTGGACTCTGTCAGTCATCTGGCTCTAAATGATATTTGAACTACAGAATGTGGTACCCAGCGTAGTAACAAAAATGAAAAGAATAATCTCAGTAAAGAATGGAGCAGATCAAAGCTCTGTAGCAGAAGTGAAGTGCAGAGAACAACTAGGGAAGTTTAAATCAGTAGATGTCAGCAAAAACAGGATGACTGGTCAGAAGGTTTATTTCAGGTAGCAGCAGATCTGAAGCATTTCATGATTTTAAAAGCTTCCAGTTAGCTCAAGTGGAAAAAGCTAACTATAAAGCTGTTACAGAAAGGTAACATTATGGCATCTAGAAGTAAAATACATGAAAAACACATTTTTGAACAGTGAGGGCTACTCAGATTGCCTAAATTTAGGCCTATAAATTAGATGGCTAAATTAGAGGGCTAGTCTTCCTAAAATATTAATAGAAAAAGAGAGGGAAGGAATGACTGCATATGGGAGGCTCCTCCAAAGAGTAATTCAGAGCAGGAGCATAATTTAAGTGCTGTAGTTGCCCTCATAAGAAATTCCTCACGTTCTTCACTAATGGTATGGGAAGTTGTAGGAGATGAGTCTTCTAACTTAGTCATCTAAGAAAGATATGTAAATATCCTTCAGAGAGTGTGGAAAGAGGTTAGAAAAATAGTCTGCAATCTAACAGAGAAGAAGCAAACTGAGAGTCTGTGGAAGCTAATTTAGGCTCTAATAGAAGACCAAATTATAATCGGGAGGGGGGGAAAAAAATCTGAGAGAGACACTCGAGAGGGAGCGCACCAGAGAGAGAAAGAGAGAGGTAGAGAGCACATGCAACAGGCAGACTAAAATTAATCTGTGATAAAATAACCAGAATTTGCCAACAAGAAATTGCTCTGTCCAAAAGAACAATTGTAGAAAATAATCAATGCTCTGATGCTTCAGTCACGGTAAAATTCTAAAATACTGTGAGAAAAAAAGCTTGAGGCAGGAAGACATGTGGAGCACAAAGCTCAAAAACAAAGCTCAAAAAACCAGCACATTCTGTGGCAAATAACACAAGCTAAGCTTGGCTTGTTAGTCATAACATAAGAAATAGGAACTTCAGTGAACTACATCACTTTGCAAGAATTTACAAGTACTAGCACAGCATACTAGTTATACGTATGGAGAAGCAGAATGACAACAGCACCTTTGGCTCAGAAGAATTTGTCACCGTAGCAATAGTCAATATTACTTCAGTTGAAGATGGAGACCTGACAGCAAATGGTATGTGTATCCATTTTAATTAGACAAAGACATACAAGACAACATAGCTCCCCAAAAACTAATACTAACACTGAAAGAAAGACTATCCAGCAGTTAAAGAAACTACTTTAAGCCTTCACTTCTGTCTCCATGAAATATGTAAACTCATTATCTGAATACATGTCAGGATAAAATTTGCAATGGCATTAAAGTACCTGTTACTGACTTAAAAATTACATCCAGCTCTTATTAAAAGGCTGATCCCAGCTGAAGTTCAAGGGAACAGAGCAAGTGAGGATGGATGAGTTTAAGGACATCTTCCAAGGGGAAAAAAAAGCTCTTGGCGCACACAGAGCAGCAGAGAGAGACACACAGAGCAGAGCTCAAAGGGTCATGCTGTCCTAGAGTTCATGACCCCAACAAAAGGCCGTGGTAAAGCATATACTAAAACAATGTTTGAAATGCTTATTACTCTGCGATTGGTAGAACAAATAAAGGGAATAACTTTTATACTTAAAGAAGATGAAGCACTTCATTGAAATAGTGCTTCGTATATCACGAATAACTAAATAAATATATAAAAAAAGGAATATTTTCCAGTATTTACATGGGGAGAAATTCTAGATGAGATGACTGATGCCAAATATTTTTCTCTCCTTTTTGCCTCTGCGGTGTTCCTGCAGGTTCTGTTAGCAAAACAGAGTGCGTATTAGTGTATATTAAATACCTGTTTTATGAGACATTCACCTCACACTGCCACAAGTGTTGTGTTTGGCATAAGGTGTTTCACCACACAAAGTGCCACAGATTGTTTTTGATGAAAGTTTGCACAGAGGATGGTTTTAATCTAAGAAAGACCAGTTGAAGAGACTTGCATAAAGACTAGGATAAAAGCATGATTGCTAGGCTAAAGCTGAACAAACACAAGTCTTAAAGTGTGATTAATAGAATTAGCATGCTAGAGGATAAGTAAATGCCACAGCATATATAGATACACCCTGAGGTACTGGTCTTCATCAATAAGTCTTTCCAAGAGAAAAGGGATACAAGTAATCACTGGAAAAGCAAATTATGCAAGAAAATTTGCGACTAACCTAGTCTGCCTGCACAAGCAATCTGAGGGCAGTGCTCTGCCAGGCAGCCAGCAATGCAAGATGCCTGGCATGGAAATTTTGAGGGAGTTTAAGACACTGAAGAGTAATAACAGAGTCCTGTAACAATTCGTTAATAATTAGTGTTTAATAAATAATATATAAAAATAAAGCAAATATGTTTATTACTTAATAGTTAAGAGTGATAAAGTATTAATGAATAATAATTATCCCATCACTGTCCTGTGGTAATTCTCCAAAGAGTGCAATGATAAATGACCATGGACACTTCAAGAAAGGTGCCAACACGCTCCTCTTATAATAGTGTAGTCAAACCTGGAGACTGCTAACTTACGCCTCACTAACAAAAAATGATAGAAAAGAATAAACAAATAGGCAAGAAGACTGTAGTCCCACTTCATGGATGTAAAAAAAATCAAAACACTTTGAGCCTTGTTTCCTCAGGAAATAGGGTTGTGTCATGATGTCATGTGTGTCTCTCTCTGCTCCTCCCCAGTCCAGTAACTTCTGAAACCATAGACCAGTTTCAGCTAAATCTGACAGAGTAGCAGTTGTCTTCAAGATATCAGGTTATTACCAGTTTTATGAAAACGGGTACTTGCGTGGAGATGAGAGACAGTATTAATCCTTCCACTGAGAGAACGATTGCAGCATGAACTCAGCCTTTATTAGATACGAGAGAAAGCACATGAGAGAGAGACGTTATGAATGCTAGCGTCAAAGGAAAAGCCTCAGTGAGAGGCAGTAGCTTATTAAATATCTGTGAATTCAGCCACAAGACAAATCCATAGGCTCCATTAGTTTCAATGCTTATGGAAATAGTTGTTATTTATGGGATGCCAGCATTCACTGAAACTGATCATAAACCTGTTCCTGCCATAGCCAAAAGCCGCTTTACAAACAGACTAGAGATTGTTTTTTCCACCTAGCAAAATATGATATGCAAATTGAATACAAAACTGAGAGTGGTTTCATGTTTATAAAAACAAAACGAAACAAAATAAAACCTTTCTGAACATTTGATAAAGGTGCAGAAGAACAAGATCTAGGGCTAGGTTACTTATGTGCTAGCAGCTCAGAAAACAATTTGGGTTCATGCAAAATGTAGGTTTTGACTGACAGAGTTACTGCTAAGAATGACGTCCTACAGAAGTAATTAAGATGTATGCCCTAGACATCATATTTCCAGTCACCAATTAATGGGAAGGTCTCAGTAATAAGCAATGGGACACACTTAAAGGCACCAGGATGGTGATTCCAAAGACGTTACAGAGAAGATATCTGGAGGTCATTTAAGGATTTAGAAATCTGTGCGAAGGGATAGATTGTTTTATATCGGCCTTAAATGAACATTGACATTAAAGCAGTTGCTAAAGGCTCTGCGAAGAATAGATAACAAGTCAAGTGAAAGAGCCCATGTTGATGGCACATGAAAAATAGGTTTCTTCAAGCAAGAGGTACAGTCCTGTGCTCTTTCATGGTCAGGTGACTGTTCTTTTTCCTGGTTTGGTTTGGTTTTCTCCTTATTCTGAAATAGTAGTTCAGGTAAAGACTATATGATTCTCTTTATAATGAAACTGCTTTTTAAATATGAGATAACTCACACCTGAGTGTCTTCATGTAAGCGGGAAAAACTGTAAGATCTTCTGCATAGACAGGGAAAAGGCATTTTCTGTGCTGAGAGCTGAGAGATGTGTATGTATTAATTTGTAGATACATTCTTCCTTTTCTTCAAACTTTTGTGAGAGCTGTCAGGTGTAAGCACAGTGTTTTAGCCAAGAGGGTCTTCAAACAAATGCTGTCTAGTGGATTTTGAATTGAGTTTTTGGAAAGCACAAAGACTCTAGTGATGGGTTTACAACAGACAGTCTCTGGCTTTCCTGACTTGTACATGATTCGCATGTACTACAACACAACACATCCAAATTTTTTTCACAGCAATACTGTTTTGTCCACAAATAGGTGCACAAAGGTGCAATAATGCTCTATGGAAATGATTGTTTTCTTAGTAATCTGTAGAACATACAAAGGACCCTCTCAGACTGAGGATAATTTATCTGAGTTCTACTTTTGGACATCTATTTTACAGAAAATTTTGTTTTTTGTTCTCTTCTCAGATGTGGTCAACTGTAATCAACCATAATTTTGAGAGAACTGCATGCAGGAATAACTACTACGGCATATCCATTTTGTCGTTCTGAGAACTGTGGATATTCTTTGGTTTGTAAAATTAGGAGCAATATTCTGGCCCATTTATCTGGGACATTGCCTTAATCTCTGACCTATCTTGCATGCTTGGGTTTATGGGAGTAAAGGACATCAAGATACTTTACTGTCTAAAGGTAGGCATCCTCAAACAGTCCTCAGGCATGAAAATGACATTCACAAGAAGCTTATTGCAAAGAAAATGAAATAATTGAAAAGTCTTTTAAAATATTTCTGATGATCCTGAATAAGAGATTGTTGTCTGTAAAGTACTGCAATAATTGTATAGTTAATGCACAAAGCTGTACATTGACCCTGTAAGAGTCTCCAGGTATTTTTTCATATAGTTTTCTTCATATTTTCAGCTTTATCCCCTTTCTTCCCCTAGTCTTTCACTAGAAAAGAAAATAAAGTTCTAATTCTTCATGATCAAGGATATAACTTTTTCATTACATTTCTTTCTACTCCTTAACTTCTGTGTTTTTGTTTCTTTGTTTTTGTTTTGTCTCCTTTGTACTGCTTTGGTTTCACAGATCCTTAGCTCACTACTGACTGTTCAAACTAGTTTCCCAAATTGCACCAGGCAAATACCTCTTTCTGCTCCCATAAATATACTTCGCAAAATCTTTGTTTTTTTTTTCTCTTGAATAATATTCTTTTCATGCTTGACATTAGAGTTTTACTTTATGGTTTTTATGCATTGGTCTTCTGATTGTATACTCCTAAGGACAGGAAATACAGCTCAAACTGCTTATAAAGCACTGTGTACCTTTTCAGTACTGTATATCTGAGTTGTTTACAGAACCAGCAGTGAAATTCATCCGCGTGCTACAGAACCACTGCAGTGTCCACAAGCTGAGATTGTGCTATTGGAGCCTTTCACAAATATCAAATATATATACTTAAAGCTGTGTAACATTTATGAGTTTTATTTGGATTATTTACTATACTTGTTTAATCGAATAACATATCAAGTTATTTCTACCAGCTCTGTTAGCGGTTTTATTAACTGTTGAAAGTGTCAGCTTCGAGATCAGATTCATGAAGATGAATTCTTTGAAAATGCTGTCAATTTTCCTAAGCCTCATCTCTGTGTAACAGGTTCAAGATCCTGATAAGAGCAGGTCATGTAACCGTGAGAAAAATGTTTCAGAAACTCATGAAGCTGTACTTGATCTATTTTTTGAAACTGGCAATTTTTTCATTGATTTCATGAAACAATTAATATCCTCCATTTGGTGAAAAAATTACAGTGCAAGATAACTAACCTTTCACACAGAATGTATTAATCAAAGTATGTATACATATACGTGTGTGGGGGGGGGTTATTTTTTAGCAGGAATTATTTTTTTCTTTAACTAAATGACAAAATAATTAACCTTTTTTCTCCTAAGTGTGCTGTTTCTGATATAAGCACACGCTCTGAACAGCCAGTCTGTGAGCTAGTTTCCCTTCAGGGCTGTGAGAGAAGTAATTACCTCCTCCATACCACAGCAGAAAAAACATTCTGTGCCTCCAGGGTGGCAAAATTCTGTGTCACTTATCTCTCCCCTTTTCTGTAGAAGTGATGAGGACTGGATCCGTCAAGTGACAAAATCACTGACCCTGGTCTAATATCCCCCTAAAACACAGCATGCAGAGAGAACCCCCGCACAATATAAATTCCCCCAAACCTACTCCATGTACAGTTGCTTACCTGAACTTTTCTTAGAAAAGGATAGGCTTATTCAGAGAAAGGAACAAGTACATTTATAAAAGAGATACAAACCATTTACACTTATTTCCTTTTTATGGTAGATTTGACTGTTTCTGACTTACCTTCATTTTATCCATTAAATTTCTACTTAGCAGGAATTACCGCAATTCGATAGCTGTTTCTTTTCTGCTCACAATATACTTCACTCACACTTCAAGCCCTAATGTAGAGGATATTTTCTTACATTGTCTTATTAGAATTTTGGTTTTGTATTAATATTACTCAAATATTACTCACTATTAAAAATAAACTATTCAAATATTATAATGGATAATATTTGAAAATTATAAAAATATTCATCTCTCTACTTACCTTAGTTTATAAGCACTGTACTGTGAGCATGCAAGCTATGGACTCTGACTTCTTCCTAATTATCAAATAAGAAATAGGTATATTGAAGTTACTGGAGTTAGACTAATTTGAAAATACTGTAAGACAAAGGAGAATGAAATTTTGTGGATCTTGTAAAAGCTTTTTCACAAAAAAATGATTAAAAGTGGTGGGTTATGTTGGTTCTAAGGGTAATCAGCTTTACTTCTGCTTTGTTGGCAATCTCATTGGCCAGCATTAAAAATGAAATATGTAACTATCTTGACTGCAGATATTTTCATTCAAAAGACAACAGCCTATCAAAATGCCTTCCTGCAAAGCATTCTCATAAAGTTGTCCAATCAACTTGCTTTTGTGTTTATATGAATTGGTTTCAGTCTTTTATTTGCTAAATATTGGCACACTAATTCCTAAATATTACATTTTTAGAGTGAATACAACAGGAAGGTATCAAGCGTTCCCTTCTCAAACAAGCTGTATTAATAGTAATACTTATGAGACCTGATATTTATCAGCAAATGGTATTGCTCAGCGTATTTCAGAAGATACAGGGATATAATAAACCAAGTAATTCTTATTTTTCTTTTTTAGGCTATGCTGTTTGAAGCAAATGATGTATTCTGTAGTTGATAAGAATGATGCAAATCATATTTATACTAATCATACCTGACATATTATAATGTGAATAAAAGACATATATTAAAAATATAGTTTAAAATACAAATGTTGAAGAAATTCTTGCTAGGTTAAACAAAATGATTATGTTTCTGTAAATGTTACGTGAAATGAAAAATAGAAATTGAATTAACAATAGTAAGCATAATACTTTTTTCCTCAGAACTAATATTTAGAAGAAGCTAGAGAAATATCAATTATTAAAATGTATTGGCAGAAAACAGTCAATTCCCTTTCTAGCTTTTTATGAATAATTCACAAGTTTGGATATTTTAAAAATTTGATATGAAATTTGTTGACCTGCACATGGATATGTAATATCTGTCAAGTAGCTCTAAAACGAGTAGAATGGACCATTATTACAGGGCAATAACATTATAAACAGATCCTTTTTTTTAATCAAAATTCTAGGAGAACTCACATAACGTAATTACAGTTTCTGCGAGTAAATGATCAGTGTGACATCATCTGAACTCTGAGTAGTCTCAGAAGTCTGTATCTTCCAATCATAAATGGTATACATGATTTCTTCCTTCAACAACTTACTACCATTATTATTAATTTGGTTAGGTCATTGCGGTGGAGCTCAAGCTTCTTCAATGCATGAGAATGCCAGGCTAATGCTTATTTGATGGGAGAAAATCTAGTAAGAGAAAGAAAAAAAGAGGAAGGGAAAATGAGATCATTTATCCTTTCAAAAATAATTTAAAATTAGAATAAAGAGTTTGGTAGTAATTATTTAATTTGCAAAGTCATGCACTCTAAATTTTTAAATTTTTAGAATTAGAACCATCTTTACCATTTGTATTCACCTTGCTTAGGTATGTCCCCTATGATATGTATTTTTAATTACCCAGCCAGATATTTAACAAACCAGGATGGATCTGAGCTGCAGATGTACAGGGACTGCGAAATGTGGGAAACTGCTCTCTTAAGATCCTCTATTTCAGCTGCTGCAGTAGCTGGAAATTTGCAGACAATTGAGGAAGAAGTCTGTAGATAGAGCAAGGAGGAGCCCAGTATTAAGGTGACTAAAATATTGCTATAGAGAAGTATGCGGCCTAGTTAGGCCAAAGATTTCTTACGTGATGCAAGTCTGGTCACTTTAAAAAAGATTTTTATAGAGTGCTTGCAACAGGTGTTTCTCCTTTCCTGGATGCCTATTTTGAACCCTGAAGATCTCTATTTTGCCAAAGTGCTCAGCGTTTGCAGCTGCAACTACAGTCACTGGGACCAGTGGGTCAAACCTATTACAGGTAATGCGATGAAATTTCAGGCCCTAGATATCTTGAATTGTGCACTTAGCATAACTGGACGTTTTCTATCTTAATATCTCAGTTCTACCTCGATAAAATGATGGTATCTTCTCCTGCCTCTGGCTTGGGAAAATAAATGTATTTAAGATTTTGAAGCAGTCAAGCATTAGAATGATGTGTTCTACTTCCACAATAAATTAATAGGTGTATTCTCAGAGAAGGGTCTGACTAGTGTCGAGCAAGGAAGCCCCTCAGCAACACTGAGAACACTATTTTCTCTTAAGGAGTCTCTGATGTCTAACAAAGTATATTGTTCCCACAATAAGCTAGCACCCTTTAGCCACCCACCAACTTCCAAAACCCAGGGGGAATTTAACATATTTAATGCTCCTGCTCCTCTGTCCACTGTGACTGTAATTGAGCTGTGGGTCATTGGAGCAGGGGACAGACCTGCATGCACAAGTACACACCCCTATCATATGGCTTTTATGTACTGAAAAAGAATAGAGTTAAGCCAAAATACAGTCATATGATCAGAAAGGAAAAATAATACCCACATGGAAAGGGACGGAGTTAAGGTTACACGTAGCACTTTAATTCTGCACTTTCCTAAGTTTTGCCTAATATATATGGCAATCTGAATTTTCTTTCATTATAGCTTTTCCACATGTGTAGTCTTCTTATTTACATTCAACATAATTTATTGGAATTTAGGGGTTTCTTTTCATTTTATATGTGTTAGAGAAATTGAAATGTCTAAGGTATCATAAAATTAATAGCAAACAACAAATAAAAATAAACCATAAATAAACAAATAAGGAAGACAAGTATGGTAGATGATAGTCTGAATTTAGTAGAATTATATAAAATGAAGCTGAAGCTAATAAAATGTACTAATGAGGTAATGCAGTTCTCACATTAAAACCTATTCCCAGTGTGGTTTTTGCTATTATTATACAGAATTACATGAGAAAGAAAAATAGATCAATCTGTCAATTTCATGAGCGTTATAAAAACATTACATCACACAAAATATAAAAAACTACAATACATCTCACGATATGTTATTTTAGAAAGGTAGTTTAGTAATGAAATAATTGAACTGATATTTCATTTGGAAATTACATATTCAATTACTAAAAATTAAAAAGTCATTATATATCAACCTCATCCAGCATAATATAAACTGAGTCCCTGAAAATGGACATGCATTTCTTCAGTAGCTGTAAATTTAGTAACCAATGTCATACTGAAAGCAGGTCCAACTTAGTTTTAAAAATTGTCCATGTCTTTCCATCTCCTGAAAACAAATAATGTGAAACCTCGGCTATAGCTGAAAGGCCTATATCTTATTGCTGAAAAAATACACAGATCAAAAATCAACCTTGCAAAAAACAGAATAAAGTAGAAAATTGATTAGAAGCATTTACAAAATGTTACTATTTTATAGTCCCCTTTTTCACATCAAGCCTCGATGACATTCTGTAGTATTTTTTTCACTTTTTCAATTCCATCAGTGACAGATTGTTGAATTTCCTTCAAACAAACAAATAATGAGTTGCCCTAGAGAACGAGCGGAAGTGATTATAGGCAAAGTTAGGTCAAATGCACAGACCAAATCAACCAAAAAATTGAGAAATACGTATTTTGTCTAGTCTCTTCATTAGGTGTTATTTGTGATAACAGTGCATTAAAAGGGTTATATTGATTGACTGACAGTGTTAAAAACTCAAGGGATATACTAAAAGCTTCATAAAATGAATGTCTGCCAGCTCTGATAGCAAAGAAGAAAAATACCTTTGATGTGGAGGATTTTTTTAACACGTCCCTGTATATTTTGTGTACCCAACCATTATTGTGGCATTTTAATACCTTCCTGGATATACATTTTTTTTAAGTGTAGTTATCATTTGCTTGAAACATACAAAAATAGCTAGTATTCCAAGCCTTTCTTAGCATTTTAATCTCTTTAAATTCCAATCTGTCATTCTCAATTTTCTGGCAGTTCTGAGGGTAGTGTGGGGAAGGGTGAAAAACTATAATATGTGAGCTCATAGTGACAGTAGTAGGGCAAATATTAGGGGGAATTTCATATGTGCAACCTTTGATGCTAGACCATGAGAGCACATTTTAAAGACATGAAAATAATCAATGATGACTCCAGTCTAAGAGCACTAAAGGAAGTAAAATGTTCAGAAGTTGAACCGATGACCTGGAAAACAAGCTCAAATTCAAAGGTGATATGATGTTAGGAGTTTTACATCACATAAAATATGAAAAGCTACAATACATTTCATGACATGCTATTTTGATGTGCAT